CATAGTCTCAGTGGTTACACCAGGCTCTATTGGACCAGCAAACCTGGTCCCCACCTTTTTTTTTTTTTTCCTCCAAATGATTTTGAGTTTTGTTCCACATCATTGTTCTCCCTCTCTATGCAGGATCTCCTACATCCCTTCCAAGTGGATCCTGCCAGCCACTTTTGTACTTTATTTCTCTTTAGATTTGCCTCCTCTTGACATTTCATATATGTTAATAGGAATCATACAGTATATGTGCTCTTTTGTTACTGGCTTTTTTCACCTAAAGGAGCTGTAGCGGCACTGTGTTAAAGCATGGGGCTGCTAACAAAAAGGTTGGTGGTTTGAACCCACCAGCTGCTCCACTGGAGAAAGATGAAGCAGTGTGCTTGTGTAAAGATTTACAGTCTTGGAAACTCTATGGGACAGTTCGGCTCTGGCCTTTAGGTCACTATCAGTTGTAATCCACTTGAAAGCAGTGGGTTTTTTGTTTTGTTTTGTTTTTGTTGTTTTGTTTTTCTTTCACTTAACAAAATGTTCTCAAGTTTCATTCATACCATATCATTACTTTAGTTCTTTTTGTTTTTAACAACTTTTTTGAGACATAGTTCACATACTATACAATTTACCCATTTAAAGTTCCGTAGCTTTTAGTATATGCACAGATCTGTGCAGCCATCACCACAAGTCAATTTTAAGATATTTTCATCACTCCAGAAAAAGCCCCATATCCTTCACCTGTCATCCCATTCCAGCCCTCGGCAACTGGTAACCTCTGTCTTTACAGCTTTCCTTGTTATGGACATTTGTATGACTGGAATCATGGAATATATGGTTTTTTGTGACTGAATTATTTCACTTAACATGTTTTCATGGTTCATCATCCATGTTGTAGCATGTACCACTGCTTATGGGTGAATAGTTTTCCATTGTATGGTTATACTATATATTTTTTTATTCAAATAAATACTAAGTTTATTTATTTATTTACTTGTAGTTTCCATGAATGTTTACAGAGCAAGTTAGTTTTCTATTCAGTAATACACATTTTATTTCATGATGTTTGTTGCAGTCACCTCAGTTTAGCAGCACTCTTTCCACTTCTTCCTGGGTTCCCCCTTGCCATTTATCCTCCTTTCCTATCCCTTCCTGCTTTCTGGGCTTTGTTATTGGGTAAATGCTACCCTTTGGTGGGTGATTGTTCTGAGAATTATGTTCTTTATGCATGTTATTATTCACTTTATGCCAAACCAGAAATCAAACTCACTCCCAATGAGTCAGTTCCAACTCATTTTGACCCTATAGGACAGAGTAGAACTGCTCCATAGGGTTTCCAAAGCTGTAAATCTTCACAGAAGTGGACTGCCTTATTTTCTCCTGTGGAGCAACTGGTGGATTTGAATTGCCAGCCTTTTGCTTGTTGTTGTTATATGCCATCGAGTCGGCCTCAACTCATAGCGACCCCTCCTTGGGTTTCCGAGGCAGTGTCACTACAGAAGCAGATTGCCCCATCTTCCTCCCGAGAAGTGGCTGGTGGGTTTGAACCGTCAGCCTTCTGGTTAGCAGTCAAGTGCTTTAGGCGCTATGCCATCATAGCAGCCAAATACTTTAATCACTGTACCACCAGAGTTTTTTGTTTACTTTATAGGCCTTGATATCCCTGACACCCTCAGGGATAGGATCTCTGTCCCTGAGGGTGAGTTTAGTTCCAGGTTTGACGGATGTCTCAGAGGTTCTTCCAGTCTCTGTTGGAGAAGTAACTCTGGTCTTTTTCATGATTTTGAGTTTTGTTCCACATTTTTCTCCCCCTCTATTCAGGATCTCCTGCACTGATCCTTTTCTGAGTTGTTGACAGTGGTAACTGGGGACCATCTAGTTTTTCTGGTCTCATTGTCATATAGACTGAGGTTTGCATGGTCCACTAGTCCCTTGGACTAATGGTTTCCACGTGTCTTTATTTTTTTCATTCTTCTTCGCTTCAGATGAGGAGAGACCCATTGTTGCATCTTGATGGCTGCTTGCAAGCTTTTAAGACCCTGGTTGCTACTCACCAAAGTAGGGTGTAGAATGTTTTTATGTAGTATATCATGCCAGTTGAGCTTGATATCCTGCACAACCATGGTCCCGAGCTCACAGGTCCAACAGCTCACTCCATCAGGGTAGTTGGCTATGGCTAAGAAGTTATCATTACTTTGCCCTGTTAGTTCTATTTATATAGACATTCTTACAGCACATACAAATATATATGTAGAAATGTCGTCTACCAACCTTATACATGGTCATGGGTATATTCCCTATCGCCTAGACATACCTGATCATTCAGCCTGTTTGTTATTACCATTGATGCAGGATCATATGGGAGCTCTGGTGGCGTAGTGCCTGAAGCATTTGACTGCTAACCAGAAGGCTGTATTGTAGATGTAAAAGTGTTTATCTTTGTTGTCTGTACTTCTTGTGTACCTCTTTGTGTCTTCCTTTTCCTTAATATTATTTTGTTAGTCACTTGCTTTTGTCATTGATGATTTTTAGATTGTCTTTTTATTTTTGAGTAGTAAGACAATTTGGTTTTTAAAGCTTATTTAAAAAATTAACTTCATCTTTCCTCCGTATTTCATTTGCTATATTGCCATCAAGTTACATGTGCAAGTACCATGTGCTTCTCTCAGTGTTAAAAGATTTCTCAGTGATCCACTTAATATAGTAGGCTAAAGTGTGAAATATTATGGCCTTATCATTCATAAAGCAAAAAGCTTTTTATCTTATTTCAGTCTGGAAATGAATGGTGCTATTGTTCTTTTCTTTTTTTTGCATTTTTTTAAACTTCTATCTTTTAATAGATCAGCCCGTCCACCCCATCTGTCCACCCATATATCCATGTTTGCCTTCACTGACGACACAGTACTGTATGTGCAAAAGGGTTCATCTTTGCTGTCTGCATCTCCCGTGTACCTCTCTATGTCTTCCTCTTCCTCAATGCCATCATGTCGATCACTCATATTCGGTACATTGCCCTTCTCTTCACCCAAATCAATACTTACCTCTGCCTCTCTAACAGTGTTCCCTCCCCTCCCCTCCCACCCCTGGTAACCAACAAAGAAAATTTCCTTCCATATATAAACCTTTCCTTGACTTTTACAATAATGGGCTAATACAATATTTGTCCTTCTGTGATTGACTCAGCATAATGTTCTCTAAATTCATTCATGTTATGGGTGCTGTTGTTCCTAAAGGAGCTCTGGAAGCATAGTGCCTAAGGCATTTGACTGCTAACCAGAAGGCTGGCGGTTCAAATCCACCAGCCACTCCTTAGAAGGAAAGTGGGGCAATCTACTTCTGTCATGTCACTGCCTCAGAAACCCAAGGAGGGGTCACTATGTCGACAGTGGTGAGTTTGGTTTAGTTTTGGTTGTTCTTAAAAAAAGCAAGCCAACCCTTTGTAAAAAGATAAAAGTAATTTATAAAATAACTGTTTTCTTCCCTTTCAGACATTTGCTTCATCATTGTTTTCAGGCTTTGATGGATCATGGTGTGAAAGTTGCTTCAGTCTTGGCATACTCATTCAGTAGACGGTGCTCTTATATAGCAGAATCAGATGCTGCAGTAAAAGAAAAAGCCATTCAGGTTGGCTTTGTTTTAGGTAAGTAATAGTAACGTAGAAGAATGTTTTGTCTAATGACATGACGCAGAATAAACCTGCTTATGAGAAAGGATTCTCTCAGAACTTTCCCAAAGTCTATGTAAATAGGTTATGAGAAAAAAATACCAGAAGAACCAGGTGTACTACTAATAGATGTGTTTACTTGAATAGTACCATGTTTTGGGCAGCTGTTGCTCTTTTCCATTGAAAAAATTTTTGTTTTGAAATGATTGCAGACTCACAGGAAATTGCAAAAATAGTACATAAAATCCCTTGAACTGTTCTTCCAGCTTCTTACGTAACTGTATGACAGTATCAAAATTGGGTATTAACACTGGTACAATACT